GTCGCAATTTCTTATTCTCCTCGCAGAGTTTAGTTAAAGTAATCTACGGGGACACACATACAATCAGAACCTAATCAACTAGTTACTTATAGTGCTTAGGGTCCACGACTAACGTGCACAGCACACGGACTCGCGAACACAACGTTTCCACAATTCAATGCACCAGCTCACTCTGACACAACCACACACAACAAACACAACACTAAGCACCAAAACAGCGAGAACGACTAAACGACACGTATCACCAAACTTCCAGACCTAAATTAGTTCGGTTGCAGTGAGCAGGGTTTTCCCGACATTAATAGTGTGTGTGTGTGTTGTGTGTGTGTGTTGTGTGTGTGTGTGTTGTGTGGGTGTGTGTGTGTGTGGTGGTGTGTGTGTGTGTGTGTGTGTGGTGTGTGTGTGTGCTTGTCACACGTATGCATCAATTGGACGAACTATCTCTGCTACCATTTCACTGATTTTCTTCAACAAAGGAGGGGGGTACACGCTCCAGTTCAAGAGTAGGTGACGTGCTGCATAGCACATACGTCTGGGCATAAAAATCCGTTGTAGTAAGTAGTTCCCCTCGTTTCAGGTCATCGTGTTAGGGTTTTTCTTGAACTCTCTTGTGATGGTTTTCCCTACACAACACACACACAACACACCCCACACCTTTCCTCTCTTCTCTTTCTTATTTCCTTTATTTCTTTGCTCCTTGCCTTTCCCTACTATTAAGAGTTCCCGAAGACGAGAGAAAAGGAAGAAGGACAGTCGAAAGGTTCCATTGACCACGTATACAGACACGATGCACTGGACAACACACAGCAACACACACACACACTACAACAACACACCAAGCCCCCACACCACACACACACACACACACACCACACACACACACACACACACACACACCACACACACCACACACAACACAGAACACACAAACACAATACAACGACCGACATCCTCATCCGCACCTTTTCGTCGAAAAAGAGGCCACCTGCAAGTAGGCCTCTCAGTACCGAGGCCCGCGACCGGTCGGTGTCTCCGTTTTCCTGGGAACGCGATCCCTGTTCTTTGTCCGTGGGTACGGTCCGACCGCATATTTGTTGACGGACTAGTTTTGAAAAGCGTTCTTACCGCCAACCTACGAGACTCATCTCGAAGTAAGAGGGGAGGAATTCAAAGTGAGACGAAAGTAGAACAAGAGTAGAGTCGGCGAAAAAGAACGGAGAAAAAAACGAGTTTCAAGTGAAGTGGACACACGGGGTACCCTTTTACACAATTCAAACTTAACCAACGGAATTACATTACCTAAATGGTATCTTATACAGGTTTTCTCTGTTCCCCGGCTCCGTGCGCTCTTCAGAGTGTACGTTAGTGTGGGCTTTTTTCTATCTTCTTCACGTTTTTTCAAATAAGTGTTTTTTTTACAACACCTCTGGCACTCATTTGAGTGTTAAACCGTAGAAGGAAATTTCATTGATCGAACTTATTAGACATGACCACACACACACACACACACACACACACACACACAGCACCACACACACACAGCACACACAACACACACACACCACACAAACATGTCGCATACACACAAACAAAGAGTATTTCTGTTTCTACCGAGTCTAGGTCACAGAATTAATTTATAAGTGGGTAGTGGTCGCTCTCTGAAATCACAAATTCAGTGTACTATAGAATCCACACTACTATCACACGATTCGAGGTCTTTGTGGTGAGTCAGGTGCGCGTGAGTATCTACTCGTCTTAGGTGACTCAGGAGTGCTTTGTAGTACAGTTCTTAACTCTATATTTCTCAGACTTCTATAAGACCACAGACTGTTAAATCCCTGACTTTTATGACATCACTCAAAGTCATTTTACTCATGCGGTTTTACCAGTTAATTGGATGCTGCACAAAGAGTATGCTGTCCCTAATAGTATCAGAGTCCTTTGTCGCGTTAGTGAGTTACCGTATGTGTATATACTTGTTACACATTGACTAACATATATTCTCATAAATGCGTCGTGTGTCTAGTAAAGATTGGGAGTGTGTGTCTGTAATCAGAGTATAACTGTCCATGTGTCGCAGAGTATGATGTTATAAACCAAACGCGAGTGTGTGTGTGTGTGAAACACAACATAGTGACAGCTGTCTCTAGGTCTATACATAAGTCCGACTTTCGTCCCAACGTTCTTCGAAAAATATTTATGACGTACCTCTTATATGTTCCAAGTTCTCTATTCTGTACACGTAGTTCGATGAGTTCAGAAGACAGGGAGTACTT